GCCAGGAAAATCATCAGTCTGGGAGACAAAAAGCATACATGATACTCAACTTGTCCTTCTCACTCCCAACAACACTTACCAAAATACAGGAACTTCCTGGCAAGCGGAATATACTAACTTGGAAAGTTATTTGGCAAAAGAAAGCTACAGTCAGACTCTAGGAAATATCATGGTTCCACACAATATTTAGTAGCTTGGAAGCACCTGCCTCCATCCCAGAATGAATGGGTCCATAAATGCCACGTCAGAGCACCTAGATTACTTAATAAATTCCATACAATGTATCCTGATAAACCAGACTAATTCCTATCTTTATCTCCCTTTGTGTTTTTCTACAGATGGATCTCTCATTTTTTAAGGGATAGGTCAGATCCGTTTCTTTGCGGGGGGGGGGGGACTTTTGCTGGTTGCATCTTTTCTTTTTCCATTCTGCAGGTTCTGCCATAGTCCTGGGGAGAGGGGGGAGCCTTTTGGGGAATTGCAATGTATTTCCTTCCTTTCATTTAGCTGCTATAATGTATCCTCTCCACTTCCTCTATCTCCTTGCTCTTTGAACTGTTTCCCCCTTGTTACCAGCCTGGGCTGAGAAAGGAATGTGCCTCCGGCTATCTGGCTTATCTCTCGCTGCGGAAAGGAAGGTGGGAAGACCCAACATTTTCAGTCTTGGGAACGGCGTTTTATTAACTCCATTCCCACAGTGGACTACACCTGTGGATTGGCCCATTTGAACTGACCAGACAATTCTTGGGGTGGGGTTTGCTATTTACTCCTTTAAGCTATTGATTTGAGCAGGAAACCCTCAGATTCTGCCTTTTATGCCTGCTGTTAGCGTCTCCTAATAAAAGTTCCTTTGGGGATGAAACTGTTCCAAGAGTTTTGCTTTCTTGGGAAGAGGTTTTGAAGCGGGTCCTTACACTTAAGAGATCTGATTTGACTTACCGGATGGAGTACTACATGATTAAACATTTGTTTGAATATAGTTAAAAGAACAGATAATTTTGGATATAAAGGGGCCCTATAGTAAGAGGGATAAGAGATGTAACTAGTATAGTATTTTTTACAATATATGAAATGTTAAAATACTGGGATGATGTATGTGAATGGAAAGTTTGGACATTTAAAGGTAATTAATTTTGAGAGAATTATGACTGAGAAGAAGCTTAAATAGGAATTTTGAAAACAGGACATATAGTGACTTAACAAGATGACTTTTATAAATATAGTTGAAATATAAGCCGTTTAGAAAAGATGTTATATATGGACGTTTCAGGATATATAAGTAGTATAGTATTTTTATAATATATGAAATATGAAAATATTGGGATACTATATGTAAATGAAAAGTTTAGATAGTTAGGTAATCAACTTTGCCAAAACTATGGCTGATAAGAATAGTTTGAATACTGAGGGGAAATTAAGTTTAAACAGAATTTTGAAAACAGGACACATAGTGACCTAATAAGATAACTTTTACAAATAAAATTGAAACATAAGTTAATTAGAAAAGATGTTATATATGAATGTCATTGTTATTTGTACAAACACAAAAAATGTTTATATCCAACCTTGTATGCATTGAAAATATTAATTATATTTATCTAATGTTGACAAAGGAGAATACTATTGGAAGAAGGGAAGATCAAGGAAACATACTACTAATTAATATATTGATCATGGAATTATAGAGATTAATCATTATTGTTTTTTCAAATATATGAACCCAGACAACACGCTGTTTACTAAGCACTAAAGATTTTTATTGTAAAAAAAAATCAATAAAATATATTTAAATAAAAAGAATGGAAGGGAAGAGAGGACTGTTAGAACGATTTGCAAAAAAAAAAAAAAAAAGGAATTGCACCAGATTTGTTTCAGTAGATATTTGTAGAACTGGGTACTAAATTAGCTGAATCACTTGATAGTATTTGTAAAGATGAAAGAGGGGTTAAAAAAAATAGTTAAGAAGATGGAAAGCTCTGAAAAAGAAGTGCCTGGAGAGGTAAAATAAGTTAATGACAAAGTAGAATTTTTAAGAGAATATGACAGGTTTATAGACAGAGTGTTGATAACTAAATAATCTAGTTCTATTGAAATTAAGACAGAAGGAATTTGTTTGAGACCTAGAGCAATCCCAAAGGATTCTCATGAAGACATTAGAGAAAAGTTTAGTAAAGCTTAAAGCCTTGGAAATTTTTTGGATTGGAAAGAGGAGGATATATGAAATTGATAAAGTATTTAGAATAAATTCCAGATTTGTGAGAACACGAAACGTTCCAAGGGGTATTTTGACGCACTCTGACAGGAAGAAAACAAGAGTTCAAGTTTTAAGCTGCCTTTTAATACAAGATGGAAAATTGATGAATACACAGATAATTGTTCTTAAAGAAATTCTTAAGAGTTTTTCATAAAAGAAGAGTTCAGATTTTTCTTTTTGGCTGAGATATTAAAGCAGAAAAAGATCTCATTCCAATGGGACAAAGTATAAAGTGTAATCTTGACTGAACTTTGTTCAGAAGGAAAAGCAATTTCTAGGAAATTTCAAAAAGGAATTGGAGATCCAAATAGAGGTATCAATGGAGGCTATAGGTAGTACTTGACTTATATCAGTTCATTTAGTGACTGAAGTAACAACGGCACTGAAAAAAGTGACCGATGACCATTTTTCAGACGACCATTGCAGCATCCCCATAGTCATGGGATCAAAATTCAAATGCTTGGCAACTGACACCTATTTATGATGGTTGCAGTGTCTCAGGGATCAGGTGATTGATCACCTTTTGTGACCGTCTGACAAAGTTAATGGGGTGCCCAGATTCACTTAACCGTGTTACTAACTTAACAACTGTGGTGATTCACTGATAACTGTGGCAGAAAAGGTTATAAAACGAGGCAAAACACACTTAAGAAATGTCTCACTTAGCAACAAAAATTTTAGGCTCAGTTGTGATTGTTAAGTTGAGGACTACCTGTACAGAAAACGTCCAACAAGTATGACAAGAAACTGAAAAGGATGATACTGAACTAAGTGCTACAGTATCAATTTTTTAATATGCTTCGCTTGATAATGGATTATAAATACTTAATATAAATGGAGCCAATGCTTCTGAAATGTGTAACAGAATGTGGGAACAAGCAATGCTGTTCTTGGAATCAATCATAAAAAAACAGGAGCCCCCCCCCCCCGCAGCTCAATTGTCAGAGAAAGAATCTTAGAAAGGGCTCGCCCTAATTCAGTGGGTCGGGACCCCATTTGGGGTCACACGACCATTTCACGGGGGGTCTCCAAACAACGCAGTCCGCCATTTTTTTCCCTTTCCCCTAGCTGTCCTACTCCCTCTTATTGGTGGCCACACCCACTTGGGGGTCACCACAACATGGGGAACTGTTTTATGGGGTCACGGCATTAGAAAGGTTGAGAACCACTGCCCTAATGCATCAAGGAGTTGAAAGTGGCAGCAAAAAGTGTCAAACTTTCAGACTTGCAAGATTCATGGTAGCCCTCCTAGGTAAAACAAATAGGAAATATAATTAGATGAGCTAAATCTACTTTACTATAAGACTACTTTAACGGAATTGAGTCACCTGGGTGACATTGAAATTTGAGAAATTAAAAAAAAAATGGCAAATTTGTTGCAGTGGATGAAAATTAATTTGCACAGGATTAAAACACTGACACTGGAAAATTATGCCCCAAATGAAAAAAAAAGTATGTTTTTTTTAAATAAAGGAGAGGATTCTTTTCTATGAAAATTGATGAACGATGGGGGGACTGGAATGGAGTGATCTCTCCACAACTGGATAGAATTTCTGAGAAAAACATTAAAATCACTCAAGACAAAATTACCAGAAGTTTTGTTAGATTTGATGGACAATTTAGGACTCATTAATACAGGGAGACAAAAAAATGGTTATTCCACAGTGTTTACTTGCTTTCCTGAAAGATACAGATTTTTTTTTCAAGAGTAGACATTTGGATTTCAAAGAATTTGGCCACTAAGGTTTCCAAAGTAGAGATATTATGAATATCTTTTGAGTCATAATCCTGTGGGTTTGATGTAGAAAAGAAAATCTAATTCTTTTAGATGGAGACTGAATGCAACATTGTTACATAAAGAAGCAATAGTGGAGGATTATAAAAAAGAGTTTTTGAAAATAATTTAGGTAAAGGCACTGATTTAAGAATGGTCTGGGATGCAAGTAAATCTTTTATTAAAAGTTTTTTATATAACATAATAGTGAAGTACAAGCTAGTCTGGATGAAATAAAAAGAACTAAAAAAGTATCCAGAGAACATAAACATTTCTCAATAAATTAAGCTTCTACAGCAGCTATTATATTTATTAAGAGAAATGGAAATAAAAATGAAGTATAGAAAATTAAAAAATGAATTTGCAAATAAACCAGGGAAGTGGCTAGCATACAAAGTACAAAAAGAAAAATGGTATTGAAATTATAATAGGGAGATACTATATTAATAGACAGTATGGCAATACAAGAGCATTCCATCAATATTATCCCAATTTATATAAGGAAATGACATCTCATCAGAGAATATAAATAAATACCTAAAGAAACAAAATTTACAGAGGATTACAGAGGAACAAGGATAGAGAATAAAGGGACCTACAACAAAAGGGAAGTTTCTGGAGCAATAAAAAGAAATTAAGATTAATTGAGAAAGGTACCTGAACCAGATGGATTATTAAGTTCTTGTTACAATGTTTTTAGGATAAACTTTACAACCTTTTCAAAACAAGATGAATTCTATCTTCGGGGAAGAAACGTGCCGGAGAGTTGAATACAGAGTAAGCTGCAGTTATTTCAATAGAGAAAACATCAAACTCCATATCATGTAATACAGTAAATCTTATCTTAGAAATACTGTAAAATACTGTATAATTATAATATTTAGCCTATTCAACCAGGTTTGAAACTAGGTAAAAGCTTGTAGGGTCATTGTAGAATGGAATTATAACACTTTATATAACAATCAGCTGCAATTCATTTACTGCAAATTGTATTTATTTCTCTTGCACATTTATTTTCCAATGTGAAAAGTCTTCACGTGAACTCATCTCAGGAAAATAGCTTAATACCACCCGCACACACACCCAATTAGGATTAACAAATGCCTCTCACAATAAGTTGTTTCTTGAAATAATCTGCATTATTTAGCTTCAAACTTTGCCTTGAAGATGCATACTAAATGTTTACCTCAAACTTCCTTTAAAAACAAGGATTTCTAAATCCTTATTGCAGCTTAATTTTCAGGAACTTGGGAAAAATATTAACTTTACTTCGTTGGTTCTTGCTTTTCATTTACAATATCTGCATACTTACGGAAAACGTCTTCTCCATGGCCAGGCAAATTCTTTTTAGATGAATAAAGCACATTAGGGAATAGCCCAATGCAACCTGAATCTGAAGAATATATATGAACTTTTTCAGAACTGTTTTTCCAAGGACTGATGAATTAATCATCTTTTAATTTAAAATATACCTATTTGTCACCATCAGAACGTTTGTCTGAAAAGTTTATTTGAAACTTTCTGAACACTTAAAGCAATATTGCTTTAGATATTCTGAAAGTGTCCAGAGAGAACTAAACAAAATCAAACTGTTATAGATTACAAGTGTTTGCTTTTGAAAGAGCTCAAGTGAACAGAAAACATGAAACACGTACTGCAAGGAAATCCCCAACATTTCATGCAAGAGCAGGCAAGATGTTATAAAAGCCACCTAAATTCACATATTTATACACTGAATCATCAGAAAAAAAGTATTGTTTAGTAAATCTGTACATCCAAATACATTTGGGAGCTACATCTAAGTTACATCATTTAATGTTTCATACACTCGTTACCCCTTTTAAATCATCAAGTAAACATTCCTAACTGGGGGTGGGTTGGTAGAAAAAAAGAAAGAAAGAAAGAAAGAAAGGAAGGAAGGAAGGAAGGAAGAAAGAAAGAAAGAAAGAAAGAAAGAAAGAAAGAAAGAAAGAAAGAAAGAAAGAAAGAAAGAAAGAAAGAAAGAAAGAAAGAAAGAAAGATCAGTGTAGACATTCAATTTTTTGTTTTTAAATCTAGACCTCCGTGTGTTGAACGCTTCATCTTCGTATATTTGCTTCCTGACATATAAAAACCGCAGTGCAGAAAACTCCATTTTTATTATTAGTTCAGTTTCTTTGGATGGGTCTCCGGTATAGTTCAGCGTACTTTTTGTAATGAACAAGTGGAAACTTGGTCCTATTAAACTGAGAATGCATGCAAATATTTGACTTTTTTAAAAAAACAAAAACAAAAACAAATGCATGTGTATTTTATAATAGGTAACATTGCAAATTATTCAGGTAGCACCCATATTTCTTTGCCCTGTCAAATAACACCAAAGCTGAAGGGAAGGAATCTTTCCAGAACGATTTTTTTTTTTGTACCAATAACTTACTAGAAACCTCTAAGAGCCATCTGTTTCACTTTCTTTAGAACTGAATGGAACAAATAGTTAAATACAGTTTGTCCTCTTCATTGAAGAGAGCTAGTCTATTCATCTTTATGAGCTAATTTTGGGAAGATAAACATGTACTGTGGAAAAGCCTACTGAATATAATCCACACATTTGCCGAGAACATTTGGAGAAAGTCAGTAAGAACCTAGGATCAATGAAAACGGATGTTGCTTTAAATGATCCACAAGAGAAGAGACCCACAGAGTACCCAGTGCCACGCACACAATATTTCCTGCGCTTTTTTTTGGTGTGCAAGTTATATACTCTTTTCCCACCCCACACCCTAAAAGGTTAACCATTCCAGTTTTCAGTTCTTTTAGTCAATTTTCACATTCGTGTAGATTTTTCGAACAAAGGCACTTGTTCCCATATAGCCAATTGCTCCTGCAAAAAAATATATATATACATATTAATTTAAATTTGATAAAACTTTTGACATATTTCCTAGAGCAGTGGCGGCGAATCTATGGCACGTGCCAGAGGCAGCACTCAGAGCCCTCTCTGTGGGCATGTGCGCCATCGCCCCAGCCCCGCCTCCCCCTGCAGCCCCCTCACCAGCAGTCCCCCTGGAGGAGATTCGCCCCCAAGCGCGGCCCGCATGGAGCAGCGCAGCCAAGGACATGGCAGCCGGGCAGCGGACAAGACTCCACCCCCGTGCTCCATCTCACACAGATGATGCTGTGGGGTGCGGACGGAAGGCGTGGCTGCCATGGCGCTGCTGGGCTGCCATGGCGATCTGCGGTGGGCCATGGAGGCGGTGGGGGCTGGGGTGGGAGGGCAGGGGCTGGGGCGGAGTGGGGGTGGGCAGATGGGGCGGGGCCAGTTTTTGGGCACTCGGTCTCTAAAAGGTTCGCCATCACTGTCCTAGAGTAACTTTTAAAAGCGGGATTCACGATTGAGTAAATATAAATAGGACAACTGAACAACAACAAAAAAGATGTTGTGAAATCTTTTAAATTTCAACAAGATGATCTAACTAAAATTCAGCTCCCCTATCAATACTATTTTGTTGTATTCTGTGTTCAACCTGGACTAAGAATTTCTGCTAATTTGACACATTATGCTCAATCTTATATTATGCATGATGCTACATACCAAATGTGTGCCTCTTCAAATGTATGGAAACACATTTAAATATGTAATCAACAGCTACTCTGAAGTCTCACATGGCAAATATATTCAAGGTCCCATTTCTCGTAAGCAGTTGCTTTTCATCAGCTTTTATTTCTTTATATGTGAAAGATTCAATTTTTTACCAGGTAAGTGACAAACTGGTTACACACAGCACGTGCAGTTCCAAAAATGTGAACATAATCAGATACTTTAGGCTACCATTTCCAATTCTCTGTTCAGTGCAGCAATCTAAATTAAAACATCACAACAGAAGACTCTCCAACTCCTGAACAGATCCAGTGCTCCTATAAAAGTTTATTTCCAAAGAAACCAGTGCAGCTTGCAGAACAGCAATGTCACATGGGCCACACTGGGGGTCCTCAGAACTGTTGTAACTATGTTTTGAAAACAACTGAAACATTCTGCTTGTGCTCAAAGATATGCTTTTTTTATCTCCACAATTGCAGAATTCAAGATACACTGTACTGCTTTTTAAACTATCCTAATGTTTGTTTCTGTACATTTTCAGAGAAAGCCCAGAGCTCAATAAGGGGAAAAAATCTGCCAGTGTTTTGCTGAGTAAAGTCATTTTATGTTGTTGTTAGTTGCAAAGTCGTGTCCGACCCATCGCAACCCCATGGACAATGTTCCTCCAGGCCTTCCTGTCCTATACCGTCTTCTGGAGTCCATTTAAGCTCATGCCTACTGCTTCAGTGACTCCATCCAGCCACCTCATTCTCTGTCGTCCCCTTCTTCTATTGCCCTCCATCTTTCCCAGCATTAGGCCCTTCTCCAGTGAGTCCTTCCTTCTCATTAGGTGGCCAAAGGACTTGAGTTTCAACTTCAGGATCCAGCCTTCTAAAGAGCAGTCGGGGTTGATCTCTTCTAAGACTGACCGGTTTGAACGCCTTGCAGTCCAAGGGACTCGCAGGAGTCTTCTCCAGCACCATAATTCAAAGTCATTTTATGTAGCCTATCCCAAACATCTATGGAAACCAGAGCAAAGGCAGAATCATATGGAAAATTTTATATTAGGCCAGAAAAAACTACTTCATGAGGCAATCGGTTCAGATACTTCCAGCTTGCAGAGATCATACATAGTTGTTTTTTTTTTCATGGCTTCTTTCATTTTTCTCTTACCTTGTCTACTTCATTTTTATCCCTTCTACCTTCTAACCTCTTCTGATTAATTTTGGCTCATTGAGCCGGTGATAAAGATTATTTGGCTTCCCCCCCCCCACTTTCTCCACCTTCCCTTTACATTCCAACCCTTATTTCCTCTTGCCTGATCATGCTGCTTACCTTTCTACAAATAAATTACTATGTGAAGCCCCGCACATACAGAGGTATTTCTAAGGAAAGGTGAAAGAAGATAAAAAGAAAGAACTGTGACTGGTAATAAGAGAATTGTATAAGAAAGTATTTGAGCTTGCAGCTTGAGCTTGGTTTTGCTGTTGTGATGCCTTAATTTATATGCAATTAATTCTAAATCTAATAATTCATTTCATTTCTGGCCTTGGCAATTTTTGAGAGCAGTCCTGTCACTCAAAGACCTGCTATCCTGATGTCATATGCTTCCACTTTAAACCTTATGCTTCAAAATGAATTCCTATAAAGAAATATGAGGTTGGCTATTACTTACGTAACCTTATATCTATTGAAATCAAATAATTTTACAGATGACAATTCTTTAATATATTCAGAAAACTAAGAATATATTTTCAAAAATATATTAAGTAGTTTAAAAGGATAAAATCTGAGAACTAAAAATTCTGAAAGCATTGTGATCTTACCACACATTATTCCTAGGGCTGTGCTAAATACTGCCATATAACCGAAGTAAAATGATGTCTGAAACAAACCATACATCCTGAGGAGAAAAAAACAGAAGATAAAACAAATTTTAACATTCCCCAAATTATGAATAAAGGTGTGTTATTTCAAGATAGATGTAAAATGTTAGATTACGTACTTTGTCTTGAAAAAGTAGTAATAAAAGGAATACATATAAACATAGATTGCAGTTGAAGCAGCAGAGAGAAAACTCGTCCATTGCCTGAAAAACAAATCAAGAATGCCAATTACATAAAATGTTCCGTGACAAAACTTGTAACACATATTAATTCAAATTTAATTAACCATTCCGAGTTTCATAAAAAAGTACCGTATATGCTGGCATATAAGACGATTCCTGCAAGCGCTAAAATCGGCGCCAAAGACGGGGATTGTCTTATATGCCGAGTCATCTTATACGCCGGAAATACTAGTAGTTTCCGGCATATAAGACGACGTTCTAGGAATGCGGCTCGGCGACAAAGACGGGGGGCATCTTATATGACGGGTCGCCTTGTACGCCGGCATATACGGTAAATATTGTACTTATGTTGTCACATAAAAACTGTTCATGTTTTTGTTCAGTCTCTACAATCTAAAAGAGACCAAATGTTCAGTCTTGCTCTTTAATGGTTAAAACTGAATAAATATTGTGGGGAAAAATGCACATGCAGCAAACTGCCATGCTTTCCCCCCCACAAACCTCGTAACCTTTTGATACCCTTTGTCCCAGTGAAGCAGCCAGAAGGTCATCCCCTTTTGACTTAATGCCTCACCTACCTAAACAGATAATATGCTTAAGTTCCTTCCTATCTTTTCCTGCCTTTGTTAGTTCCTTCTCCTGTTTGCTCTTTACCTGGTCTTTGATCATGTAATGTGTTACTAGAAAATAGTTGCTTACACGAAGATATTTTCCAATGAAAAAATCTTTGTCAGCATTTAATGATAAAGCCTATGTATGTAACAAGTATATAAGAAGCAATAAACTCAGAGTTTGTCAAGCTGTGTCCTACAGCTTCACACCTCTGCTCAGGACATGCCTGTGTCTTTTTCTTAGCGTCTTACAAAATATATTGTACTTACCACCTATAGTCCTCTGCATTCAGTAAAAAGTATGTACACACAATTGTCACACAAACAGTTACAATGCAAAGGATGACCAAAACTAACATCATGAAGCCATAGACGTAATAGATTTTGTAAGCCCAGAAGGAGGTGAAGATAAAATACCTAAGGAGAAAGTAAGTATAATTCAAATATACATCTCTGGTTAAGCTGATACTGACAAATTGCTTCTATAAAAATAACTTACATTTCAATGAAAATTGATCCGAAGGGGAGAATGCCACCAAGGCAAACAATAACAGCTGGTTCCATAAACCTGGAAAAAAAAAAAGAACTATTTTTCTCATTTAACCAAGGCCAATGGGAAAAAGTCATTTAACAGAATATTCCTGCAGAATTCAACAGAAAATCACCACTGATTTTTAAAGTGGACTAGGGTAAAATCTAAAATATCTTGAATACTCCAATAAAATTCAGACTGTGAGTCACAGGTCTGTCAGCATCTACGATTAATTACAAAACTGTTGCAATATTAGTTTGTTTTAATATATTGTCCAATATTAGTTATATTTTGACAACTGATGAGACCATCTAGCCCCTGCAAACTATTCAGGAAAGAGATCAATCACTACTTGATGAAAAATGTCATGTAGTTATGAAAGATAATGCATCTTATCTCCTATTATATGCCACCATCTTATGCTTAGATAATTATCTGGAAGTACCCATAAAGACCAACTACCCTTTAAAGTAGATTAACATGCTTTATCAGATACATGAATATAGACAAATTTAAATTTTACCATTTTTTCTCTGGGATTGGACGAGGAACAGCATTTACTCGGCAAGGAAAATTGGGCTGACCAGAAAGATTTCGTCCAAGTATTGTTCCAACAAGATTTAAAGGAAGAATAACAAAAAAGCAGATGCAACAAACAGCTACCTGTTAAATCAGATAAGAAGAGATATAAAATACATTCATTAAAATAAAATCAACCATTATTTTAGCAGCAATTAATCACAAGAAAACACAGAGTTATTCAAAATAGATACCGTATTTTCCGGTGTATAAGACGACTTTCTAAACCCTGAAAATCTTCTCAAAAGTCGGGGGTCGTCTTATACACAGGAATATACGGGTAGCTGTTCTCTGAATTTAAAACCAATCTGCCCCCTAGTGGCCAGCCCTATTTTTTTTTTTACAGAAATAAGCACTAACAGGACAAAGCTTTCTAGCAGCAAAGGAATGGAGCTCCTATTGTGCTCATCTATAAACAAAAATTCAATATTGTACTGTATTTTCTGGCGTATAAGACGACTTTCTAAACCCTGAAAATCTTCTCAAAAGTTGGGGGTTGTCTTATACGCCCAGTTGCTTTATACGCCGGAATATACAGTAGGTTAAATGTCCAAATTGATAGTGACAACCATCAAGCTTTGCTATGTTGAACAGCAATGCCCCTCCTTTACATTCCCACTCACTCTACAAGAGCATCAGCTGCATTGACAATCTTTCTTTAGGGTATTCTCCTGTTGGAGATTACCCCTAGTAGCTATGTAGAGTTCAGTCTTCCATCTTTATCCAACAGATGGAATCTCTCTTTCTTGATAAATACAGTTTCTGCAAATTCAAGTACTCACCATTGTCCCAAAAGGAATAGCTCTTGATGCATGATAATAAATGGCAATAAAATTAATGAAGAAGGCTGTGCCACACACCATTGCAGGAATAAGGAATGCTCCAATGAACATTTGCTTTATCCATCTTCTTCCTGCCAATCAAAACATTACATGCGTTTGTGATCAGGGTTACAATTATGAACCTTAAAGGTCTGCAGTAGGATATCGCTTAACTGGCATGTAACACTGTTTAGACTGGAAACGATGACAAGCTCTCAGTACCACTTTCCTCTTGTGGACCTAAAATAGGACTACAACTCAAGGTGGTATTTTCACAAATCTTGCAAATAAGTACAGTTTAAGGCCCTGAAACCTCTCTTTATGTATCATTAGAAAACACATATTCTGAACATTTTTATCATTGCATCTTAAATTTGGACAATGGAGGAAATTAATTTGTTATAAATCATGAAACTTTTATTTTCTAACATCTATTACTCTGTCTATGAAATTCTGGCAATGTCATAGTATGGTTATAAAATGGTTTTAATGAAGAAATTAATGTACATCATCTTTCTCCTCTCTTGCTGAAATATTTCTCCTCTTGGAAATAGGATCTGAAGATTATTTATTTATTTATTTATTTATTTATTATTTATGAGACTTATATACCGCTTTAAATGCAAGCACTCTCTAAGCGGTGTACACCAGTAAGCAATGTATATATATATATATATATTTTACATTGCCCCCAACAATCTGGGTCCTCATTTTACCTACCTCGGAACGATGGAAGGCTGAGTCAACCTTGAGCCGGTGAGATTTGAACCGCTGACCTGCTGAACACAGTCAGCTAAAGTGGCCTGCAGTACTGCACTCTAACTACTGTGCCACCTCGGCTATCTCCTGGCTATCTTTGTACCTATTCAGCCAACAATCTCAGTAACTGTAAAACTGAATGTATGTCCTTGTTCATTGAAATGTGAGGCTAACAATGAGTTCGGGTCTTCTCGGCTCACTTGTGTTCTTGCAGTCTGGTAGGTTAGCTTCCTCCCCATGTACATAGTCACAGGGATAATCCATACAGAGGTATCTTAGAGAAGTATCTCCCACCTCCAAGCAATCATTACAATGCATGATTTCTCCTTGTATGGTAGCCTTTGGGCGCTGTGCGATGCCCACTTGCAGATCTCAGGAGCTGTGTTCTACTGCTTCCGAAATGTTTTTGATGTATGGCCGGGCGTGCCATATAGTTGGTCTTGCACCTTCTTTCTTCCTTTCTCTCCCCTGCATGTTGCGCAGGCATCTTATAATAAATGCTTGTAGGTAGCCATTCTGCCTGAATTGTTCACATAGGCACCTGCTCTTCAGTTGTTTAGCTTGCTGGACATACAGTGGCTTCTCACCCTGCCATACAGTGTTTTGATGCAACTCTTTTTATGTCATGTTGAAACTCAGGATGTGTTGAGTGTTGGTGGCTTTTCAATAAACTGTGATTTAAAGGCTTCCATCTTCTTGCCTGTTGACAATCACATCTAAAACTGGTAATTGTCTAACCCAGGGGTAGGCAACCTTGACTCTTTTATCACCCGTGGACGTCAACTCCCAGAATTCCTGAGCCAGCCATGCTGGCTCAGGAATTCTGGGAGTTGAAGTCCACGAGTCATAAAAGAGCCACGGTTGCCTACCCCTGGTCTAACTGTTTCTTCCTCTATTGTGAATTGTATTTCTGGGGAAATGGAGTTCAATAGTATGAAAGTCTTTCGGTACATTTCTTTTGATGATGATAATTTTGGTAGCGGCACCAAAATTTAGGTGTATAGTTTTGAAATGCATGGTGTTCTAGTCCACGCAGGACCTTTTCTACAATGACTCCTAACATTAGGGATCCCGTGGGTGTCCCTTTTATTTGCTCATACATTTACCTTTTGAACAGGAAGAGGAAACGTTGACAATATTGGAGTAATTTCATGATTTGTGTCCTGGTTAGGTTTATTCTGATCTGTGTCCTACTACTCTTTTTCTAGTTTTCTGTCTATTACTTCGGATGCTAGGTGGGGAGGGATGAACGTAAACAGGGACACTGAGAACATGATCTCATCAAGAAGCCCCATTTAAGCCTTGTAGTTTTGTCAAAAATGGTGTGGATGACGTGACCGTGCTGTTCGAGGGTGGGATCAGGAAATTTAAGCATTGTGCCACTCACTATGCCAGCTTCTACTCATTAGTAGCCTCACATTTCAATGAGCAAGGACATAGATTCAATTTCACAGCTACTGAGAACTGTTGGCCGAGCAGGTGACCAACCTAGATTGGATCCTGCAACATTATCCTGGGACGTGTATATTTGCCTTCATTCCTGTTATATTAATTACACCGAGTCAATTTCCTCTCTCAATTTTAAATAATTATACCTATAGTATTTATTGTGCACCACATACTATGTAGCCACAGAAGGGTGAGAAAATGGTATGAGATACACGAACTGTCTTAACAGTCCGAGAATGGATGTGAATCTCTGAACTGAGTAGGAAAATCTCCACTGTTTGTTATTTAAAAGGAAAAGGAAAAGAAAAATGAAAAAAACCACCAATAACATCCTAAATAAGTACTAATATCTGGGGCATACTATTGTTGCATGGATTTAGAGTTAATTTAATCACATCAGTCATTTATTGCAGAATAATTCCTCTCTGATGGCCTGCAATAAGATCTTGAAATAACTCTTTCTTTGTTGTTCAGCACATTTATACATGACAAGGACAACGGTATAGATAGGCTGAAGGTCAGGTACCAAAAACCTAAGCTTGAGATTACCGTGTTTCCCCAAACATAAACCCTACTCAAAAACTAAGCCCCAGCTGATTTTCGGGGTGTGCGCCTAGTACATGTATAGGCCAACTTGGCTCTTTTATGACTCGTGGACTTCAACTCCCAGAATTCCTGAGCCAGCACAGCTCAGCTTGGAAACCTCTCCCTTTCCCCTCAGCATGGCTGGCTCAGGAATTCTGGGAGTTGAAGTCCACGAGTCATAAAAGAGCCAAGGTTGCCTACTCCTGACCTAGTATAAGCCCAACCCCGAAAGTAAGCTCTAACATGGGGCGGGACGAGTCAGCCCAGATCTTCCATGTGACAGCTGGAGTGCCCCCTGCCACTGGCCTCCCAGGGCCCACTGGTAGAACCAGCTGCCGCTGGCCCCGCCCTCTCCGTCCCACTGTCTGCTTGCCTGTGACCGCGATGAACCAAACCCTCAGCGAGCCCCAGCCTCCACCCGCCCTGCCTGCTGGCCCTACTGCTGCTGGAACATTTATCAGTCCTAGCTCTTTGCCCTCCTGACTGCGCTGCTCTGGGCTGTCCTGCTGGGCTGCTCCTGCCTGGTGCAGGGCGAGTTGGCCCAGATCCGGAATGCTGCCCTGCTGCCAGCCTGCCAGGGCCCTTCGCCAGCAGCCACCGGTGGAACTGCACCAGCCACGCCTCCGCCTTTGGACTGCTTGAGCGCCAGCCTGCACATCTACTCGGTGCTGCAGGCGCTGGGCTAAGGGTTGAACCTGGCGTTCTTCAGGCCCTGGCGGGCGCTGCAGCTCTCATGCCAGCTGGGCACATTTGGCCTCTACCGACTGCTCCTGCCGGATCATCTTCGCCTGGGCGGCCGGCTGCTGCCACCACCACGAGGTGAGGAGGCGAGACAGGTGGCAGGGGGGTGGAGTTGTTTCCCTCCGCCTGCCAAACACCTGCCGAAGCCACGCAGGGTAAGGTTGCAGGGTAAGTCCAAAGAGGAGACTGACCTATTTCCATTATTATAAAGTTATTTTTAATAGTAGCTTTGAGTCTATCAATTACTATCAGTTTCTTACCAATACTTGCCAAAAGCCCATAAATTCATCTTCTTAGAACACAGTTACAATCACTTCCAATCATGTTTACTTTCTTTTATAAACATCAGTCTGTAATATTTTCAGCCTGGATATTAGGTGTGAGAGAAGCAATGCACTTCTCAATGCACCCTTCAGGACTTCTTCAAGTTCTCCCTGCATGCATATAAACGCTCAGCTGGTTGCTTCATCAGCAAAAGTGTCGTTCATGCATGAATACATACGTAGACAGACCAAGAAAACTCTTGAAGTAGCTATGCCACATCTTATGCTAGACTGCACTATGAACAATAATCAAGAAATGTTTTACCTCCTTGCTTGGCGTAAAGGCTTCCTCCAAAGTAACCATTCACTGGTGACGTTGCCGCATAAACAAAAATAGCAGTACTTAACATTGATCCTCTCCTAAAATAAAAAACATTTATTTTTTGCTATACAAGTGACTGCCCAAAATATACAAAAGGAAAAATAAAAGTATAGTATAAAAATAATTTTGAATGCCTAGTATACCATTCAAAGAAGGATTGGCAAGGAAATGTACAACAGGAACAAAAAGAATGAAAAGAGTTTTCTGCCTCGGAATGCCAGCGGTTCATCCCTGAATAGACATCACTACTATAGTGTGTTTCATGTAACTGCTTTAGCTGAGCTTTATTAAGATGAGAAACATTAAGATATACTGGCAAAAACAAAAAAGCTCTATTAAAAAATATTGTTACTAAAAATGTATATTCTCATTTAGTTAAACTTTCTTTCTTGAGCTGAGAAGAGATGGCCATCATTGTCATGGTTAGTAGTATCCCAGAAATAATAAAACATATGAAAGTATTATGATGCTATGATGCCACTATGGTTTTCTTTCCATAATTTTCAAACTACAGGGTATAGCGCAGGCATGTCAAACTGCTGGCCCGTGGGCTGGATGCTTAACACCGAAACCGCACCCACCCCATTGCCGGCAATGGGAAAAAGTCCCAATATGTTGCGCGACGTCGCAAGTTTGACATGCCTGGTATAGCACATCTGAGTAGAAACACTTGTTCCTCGCACACCCAACTCAACCAGGGAGATATATCAATAAAAACAGAATGGCAGAAGGAATTTATGTTCTGTCAGAATAGGAAATAGCATTTTGTTGTTAGTTGCAAAGTCGTGTCCGACCCATCGCGACCCCATGAACAACGTTCCTCCAGGCCTTCCTGTCCTCTACCATCTTCTGGAGTCCATTGAAGCTCACGCCTCCTGCTTCAGTGACTCCATCCAGCCACCTCGCTCTCTGTCGTCCTCTTCTTCTATTGCCCTCAATCTTTCCCAGCATTAGGCTCTTCTCCAGGGAGTCCTTCCTTCTCATTAGGTGGCCAAAGTATTTGAGTTTCAACTTCAGGATTTGGCCTTCTAAAGAGCAGTCGGGGTTGATCTCCTCTAGGACTGACCGGTTTGATCGCCTTGCAGTCCAGGGGACTCGCAGGAGTCTTCTCCAGCACCATAGTTCAAAGGCCTCAATTCTTTGGCGCTCAACCTTTCCTATGGTCCAGCTTTCACAGCCATACATTGCAACTGGGAAGACCATGGCCATGACTATATGCACAGGATATTAAAATAATTTTATTAGAAAAAAATGATATTGTGATAATTGTTCTCTATTTCAAAAACCATCCCTGCTTCTAACTCTGTTAGCATCTCTCTGAGATTGTACCATACTTGCAGCTTTCCTGGCTTCTAGTTGTCTCTCACAGGAATCTAGCAAAGAAAAAAATACTTTTGCAGTGCTCTCAATAGTACCCATATCCGGAAAGGAGAATCAAATGTCTGTTTGGTCAGTAGGCAACTAGACTGGATATATGTAGAAACTTTATTCATATCCATATCTTGGGAATGTTGATCTTTTTATGGATATAAAGATAAACCCAGAAGCAACAGCAAGGATTTTCTTTTAAATCACATTTTCACTGCTGCTTCCTAATGTTAAAGTCAAATGCTTTTCCATATTCAGACAAAAACAAAGCAATTTAATGGTATCACATTCGAAGAATGCAAAAATGTGTTTGAATTTTCAAATATCCAACAACTTGTAACAATTATAACTTGTTAGTAGATACATTTCTTGAAATACAGCTAGTAACAGTCTAAATGTTGGTTCAACGGACTATGTTCTATTCAAAGAAGAGAGTTTAGGATCTAATTCATCATTTTAAATTTAAAATATGCATTACCATAAATTTGTACTTTGCCTATGTTAAAACTCTTTGAGTCAAATAAATATATGAGCATTATCTATGCATCTTGTGGGTGTATGGCTATTTTTCTATCTTTGGAAAATTCTAGAGCTCCAAAAATAGCTGATATGCAAGTGGGCTCACTGGACCTTACCAATATATTTTTTAATATAACCAGAAAGTAATACTTACTCTGTATATAAATCTTCCAGCATGGCAACAATGATTACTATGAAAGAAACCGCAAAGATTTGGCAGCCAGAACCAATAAGGGATGAGAATATTAAAGGATGACTAGATGGCCTGAAAACATCTCCGTGAACTTGTTTCCAACCGTATTCATCTCCTAGATCTCTATCCTGCAGAAAACACAATACATTCATTCAAAACAAGAAAAAAAAATCTAATTGCCAAACCACAGTCTAATTCAGTCTATAAAGTATCACCCACAACTTGCTCTATCGAAACCTCTTCTGAACTGTGCAGATTTTCTCCCCTTTCAGCAAGAGAATGCTAAAAAGCTCACATCATTGGTCAATAGTTTATGATACTCTCTGAACAACAACTTGCAATCACTGAGTAAAATCTTATTGCCATATCAGTGACATTTCTGAGGAGAGATACTGATGATGGGTAATCCTGATGAGCATTAATCCATGTTGTTACGACTGTAGAAAAAGCATGCAAGAGAATGCACAAAAAATGTATCAAGTGTTGCATACTTGTGGTATACATCAGTATGCCTGGACAATAACACTCATTTTGGATCTTCCTACCTTTACGTCAAAGAAATTTTAAGTTGGATACTAGCCCCAAATTAGGCTATTTCCTATTGTTGAGTAGTGCACAATAAGTAAAAACTAACCTAACATTTTTATATGTGGGCTTCACATTATTATCATTATTTCTTTAAATTAGGGATACATACACATTTTCAGGTTGAAATTGATTCCTGTCAGAAGCCACAACTGGACAAGACCAAGACCAAAATTAAATTTGATTCAGAATGTAAGTAAACATATTTTATATTATTATTCCTCATAATAATTTCCTTTACTTTCTTAGCTGCAACTCTTAAATGAGATTTGGAGCTATACATAATGATTTGGGGATTAAGAATTATACACCCTTGCTCCAAAAGAAAACACAAGTCCAGATAATCTTCTGCAATATTTTTTATTATTTCATTGTATTAATGAAGAGGTTTGAATTCTTTAAGGAATAAACTAGTTCAAACAATGTAATTAATTAGAGAAGCCAGAAAAAATGTAAAGCACAAATATTATAAAATGACATCACTTATTACATCTCTCACATCTGCAAATGAAGAAACATTTGCTAGTCATATTCTTATTATCTCTAGACCCCAACTTTAGCTTCTAACTTAGGTTTACATACAAATTTAGTTGTCTATGTTTCATTAGATATCTGAATGCATACATACAAAATTTAAATGCAGAAAAGTTCTAGATATGGAGGAGTTAGGGAACTCTTCTGCTCACTAGAGAATTTTGGGAGGCATCTGTGTCAATGGTAAATTGCCTGTTCTACATGCCAAAAGTCCCAAATTCAATCCCCGTCTAGGAAAGATCTTTTTGAAAAGGATAAACTCCATCAGATAATACCTTATTAAATGGAACACTGGCCTAACAAGTTATGTAAATCAGCTGTCCAATAAGTGTAATCAATTTGGCCCCAGACATAGACCAGAAAACCAAGTCTTGAAGAAAAGATATTTTTTTTCCCAGAGTGAACCATTAGGCATGGTAAGAAAAACAATTTGGCCCACTTCTTGGCCAACTTATAATATTGGCACATATAGGATTCTCTTTATCAATATTCTAGTACCGTACACACATATCAGATTTTAATGATATTTTGAGAATACTGTTCTAATTAATAATGTACTGCATATAATCTGTATTTTAAGCATATGATACTTTAAAAATATCAACCACGAGTATATGGAAAACTGGTCCCCTCTATTGAGATAAATTTTAAAAATAACAGCCTGTCAGAAAAGGTTTTTAAATCAGTATTAAAAAAATACTTATAATATTTATGCTTAGGGGACCCTGCACTTACAGAACTGATCACATTAATTTATTATGTTTGATCCCATTTCTAAAACATTCAACCTTTCGGCATCCAGGCTTTCTCGTAGACTGAACACCTATAAATTTAAGAGTTAAAATAAAAGCAAAAGTTTTACCATATCATCCATTTCTTCTTCTTTACTATATCGTGCATAATCTTTCCTCAGGGTCCTCATTAAAATCATAGAAACCAAGCCCACCAGGAAAATAACCATCATAAAGGAATTGAAGATTGAAAACCAATGAATCTAAAATAAAAAGTAGACACTCATTAATATTATTATTATTTTATTTACAAGCCCATAGATCTATAATTATGAAGAAATGTTCTAAGGGATGACATTCACTTTTTATGAATAGAAAGAAAGTTGAACTACCATATAAAATGCTGCAGCCCTTTTGTCTGGCAAAGGCAAAATATATAATATAATAAAATAAAACACTAATATTCCACTTTTTCCATTCTGAAGAAATGCAAAGCGATACAGACAAAATCTATTCACATTTTATCTTAAGTGAAAAAATGAAAAAAAAATTTCTTCTTCTCTAGTATCACGAAGTTACAATAACGAATCTAAGATTAGTAACTTGTTCAAATTTATTTGAAAATGATTTCAGAAAAAAATGAAGTATGGGTCAATGGTCCATTCTTCAGTGGACCATGATTTCTTCAGAAGCCAGGATAGAAATTTGCAGGCTACCTTTCTATTGTAATTTATTAGAAAACCAATACCAGTAATTTTTCACAACATGAATATATTAAAGGCTCAATGAAGATGCCCTGAGAAGATACTGGCCCGATTAAAATATATAGAAAGGATATCCTTTGCTCAAATAATTAATGATATTGTGAAAAGGAATTTCAAAAGTAAGGCAGAACAGATATCTAAAGTCGGTGTAAAGTCAAGTCTACCGAAAAACCACTCATGTCAACCAAGTGCTCCACTACTAAAGTAGTAATCCAACCTCCCACAAGAGCTGTATGAGAACACTATTTAGATGAGGACAAACATATTGCAGCAACCCTGAACATCAGAAAAAGGATTAGGGGGAGGGTGTCAGGTCCCCTCAAACCACATTTTGGGGGGCTCTGCCATTCTGTTGGGAGAGGGAAGGCTGCACTCTGTTAGGAGGGGGAAAATCTTGTGGGCTCTGGGATGTATTTCCTTTACTTTGTTCTCTTCACCTTTGATATATTCTTTGGGTGTGAAGGGGGTGGCGAGGAATGAGCCTGGGGCCATCTGCCTTATCTCTTACTCCACTGGGAAGAGACCGGGAAGAAACAGCAATGTCTGAGAACCACACCTTATCGCTCCAGTTCCCATAACAACTTCACACTTATGGACTGGCTGAAGTCAAATTTGCGTGGGAAAACTTTAGATCTTGCTTTGCTTTCTTGCTATCACTATCTCTCAATTAAAGTTCCTTTCGAAACAATGTCTGTTTCAAGAGTTCTGCTTTCCTGGAAGGAGTGGTCAAGGCAGGACCTTACATTAAGCAAGATCTGCAAAAAGGTCAACCCGGAGAGACAACCGCCCACCGTGGGGACCGTGAACATCATGTCCCTCCATAGCAGCGGACAAGATGAGACAGAGTGTTGGGGAGAGCCCGCTGCAAAAACCCACCCAGAAGAAAACTCCTACAGATGGATGGAAAAAATGGTAAACGTAGAAAGCTCCACGAAGCCGAGATGGTCGCTCAGAGTAGGTAAGAGAGAAGAGTGGGAAGAAAAAGCCCAGCAAGTAACATTTACCTGAGGCAGCCGGAAGAAGGGCTGGAAGCGGGAGATGGACCTGCTCACTGATGACAGGGACGAATCCTAAGAAGAGCAGGAGTCGACCAACCAGATCCTGAAACAAACCATGCAATACATGGTGGAAGCCTTTCAGGACCTAAAGACAAAATCCAAGCAATGTAGGAGCAAAAGGAAGGATCAACTGGAAGAAACTGAATGCGGGGTGAGACGGGAACGACCGAAGCCGCAGCGGGGGCAACTGGATCTATGGAAACGATGGCGGCCACCCTGGCGGCACAGCAGCCTGCAGCTCCCGGAGAGGGAATGCTCCCCCTGCCTCTAGAGGGAGATCCCCACCGGAGGAATCAAAACTGGTTCTCCTAGGGGTGAAATTTGACGGGAGACGCCCAGCAAGCAAGCTCCACCTACATGCAAGTATATGGGAGAACTCTCCCCAGTGAAAAAGTCAGAGTCAGGGTCATCACCCTAGCCCTGGAAGGAACCACAGCCCAATGGATGGTTACCCTGCACAACTGCAATGCACCAGAGCTCTGAAACTTTAACTGTTTCATGACTGCCCTGGGATGGAGATTTGAAGACTGCCTGGCTGATCAGAAGACAAGAGATCGAATCAAGATTGTGAGTCAGGGGCATTGACTGGTGGCTGAGTACATGGAGGAGTTCCAAGACCTGGCATGCTGCTTTAACTGGCCTGAAGACATCTTAATCAGCTGTCTCCATAACGGGCTGAATGACAATCTGTAACAATGCATGTGTGCCTAGGGGTGCTTTGATTACCTGACTGGTGATTCCTGACCGAAGAGATGTAAATCGACCAGTACCGCTCCGGAAAAATGTGGAAATGGTCTCCACTGGAGAAGAGAGAAGGAGCAAAACCCTCGGCTGCACCCCCTGCTTCAAATGTGGCAAAGAGGGGCATCGTGCCGTGGAATGCCACAGCAAAACTCCCACCAAAAGAGGCAATGGGCAATCTGGAGGAAAGCCGACTAAGCCCAGCCAACGGCAGAAAGACGTGGCCCTGAGGAGCATGAAGGTCATGGAGTTCCGTCCAACCTGAAAAAACAGAGGGTGGAACTCCGAACCAACCAGAAGATGAACACGGGACGTCAGAAAGTGACTATGATGACCCATTGGTAAGTGGACCGATTGCACCAATGACCATGTCCATAGAACTGTTAATTCTGGGCAGAGAAAGAAAAGTAACCCTTTAACCTTCATCCTGGGGTTGGCATGGCTGAAAAAATGGAACCAGCTGATAGACAGGTGAAACCGATAGACTGGTGAGAGGGACGTTTGAAATTCCCCAGAGAAAAGAACCCCTTACTGAGCAAATGAATACGCGCAGGAAGGAAACAGATCAGGGAGATAGCAGCCACTTTAAGCGGTGAGGGGCCATGCAAACCATGCCCAGTGAGTACCGGGATCCAGCTGAGGTTTTCAGTGAAAGGGGTTCAGACAAACTGGCCTCCCATTGGCCCACAGACTATGCTATTGAGATCGTTCACGGGCAAAGTTACCAAAGCCAAAGCTGTATTCGAACTATGTAGGTTCATCGACAAAAATCTGCCCCATGGGTTCATACAACCAGCCAGACCCCAGATGGCCACACCCATGCTATTCAAAGTCTCTGCGTTGACTATAGAGGTTTGAATGCTGTATGTGTGGAAAATGTGTGCCCCCTGCCTCTCATCAAAGATGTGCTGGCCCACCTATCGAAAGGAAAAATATTTTCTAAATTGGATTGCGAGAGGCATATTATAGGATTAAGGAAGGAGACGAATGTAAGACTGCTTTCAACTGCCCCCTCGGATGCTTTCAATTTAGAGTGTTCCCTTTTGGTCTACAAGGGGCCCCAGCTGTGTTCATGCAGCTGATCAACAAGGTGCTCTATGAGCACCTGTATAAGGGAGTTTTGGTGTACCTGGACAATATATTTACATCGAAACGAGGTGGAACACATGAAGTTGGTCAGAGCGATCCTAAATAAACTCTGAGCGGCTAAGCTTTATGCAAAATTGTCAAAGTTTGAATTCCATAAAGAGAAAACTGAGTACCTAAGCTACAAGATTTTGCAAGACGGGGTGGGGTTGGATCCGGAGAAAGTATGCGCTGTCTTAGATTGGGCGGCACCTGCACTAGAAACAGCTACAAAGTTTCTTGGGCTTTGCAAATTTCTACTGACAGTTCATTCCCTCTTTCACCCAGATCGCTTTACCTATCACAAACTTGTTAAAAACAAAAGAGGTGAATAAACCGAGACCCAGCCAGCCCCTGAAGTGGACTATGGAATGCCAAGCGGCATTTGAAAAATTAAAAAGACTTTTCTCGACAGAGTTGATTCTGAAGCATCCAGACCCAGAAAAAGCATTCATAATCCAGGCTGATGCCAGCGATGTAGCAGTAGCATCGGTGTTACTCCAAGAGAACAAACAAGGAAAACTGCATCCCACATTCCTCTGAGGCCACAGACACCTCTCCCTCGACCTCCATAGGCTCCAGTTCCAGCTCATTTTCCTCAACAGATTCAGGCTCCGACAGAGGCATGACACATCCAGACTCAGAGAGACCATTTGTCATTCAGGCTGATGCTAGTGACATGGCTGTTAAGTGCAGTACTGCTCCAAGAAAATAAAAATCTGGAAGCATTGAAAACCCCAAGAAAACTGTCCCTAAGCAGAGGGGCTCAACACTTCCAAAGCTTCAGTTTCACCCTCCGCTATTTACCAGAGGGGAAGAACTTCCTTGCAGACGCTCTGTCTAGGCCAGTGGTTCTCAACCTTTTTAATGCCGCGACCCCCAACCGGTCATAAGTCGAGGACTACTCAACCGGTCATAAGTCAAGGACTACTCAACTGGTGCAGCATCGTTTGCAGAATGGGACTTTTGGCGGGCTCAGCAGGGCAGAGACAGCCTGGACAATTCCTATTGGCTTTTGAAAGCCAATAGAATTAGGCTCTATTCAAGAGAGTCTATTCTATTGGCTTTCAAAAGCCAATAGAATAAAAGGGAGTAGCACAGCTAAGGAAAAGGGGAAAAAAATGGCGGACTGCGTTGTTTGGCGACCCCCGTGAAATGGTCGTTCAACCCCAAATGGGGTCCCGACCCACAGGTTGAGAACCACTGATCTAGGCTACCACAATACAACAGCATAAAGACCGAAGTAGTCAAGCTTTTACTCCCTCATAGCAGCTAGCAGCCCCAGTAACCATGAGGGCACAATCAAAAAGCACTCCACCATTAGACAACATTACCACTGTGGTTTTCAAGCTGAGAAAAAAATAATGGTTCTCTTAGCCATAAAAACCTCTGCTCCATGAGGAAGGGACTGACATGGGTAGGGGAGAAATTGTACGTCCCAGCCAACCAGAGACTAAAGACTATGCAAACCTGTCATGAATCAAAAGTGGCTGGGCACTTTGGAATTGTAAAGATCTATACATGTTAAAGAGAGAATTTTGGTGGCCCTCTATCAAAAAGGACATACAAGGACTATGTGGCCAGCTGCTCTACCTGTGCAGCAGCAAAATGAAGGCAGGGGAAGACACCTGGCCTTGTGTAGCTGACTGCAAGCCCTTCAGCACTATGGACTTTATTGTAGAATTGCCAGAAAGTGCAGGAAACACTGTTATTTGGGTGGTTACTGGCCTATTTTCAAAGCAGGTCCATTTATCCCATATCAGAAGATCCCAACAGCAAAGACTCTAGCAAAGTTATTCCTCCACTACGTCTACCGTCTACGTGGGGCCTCACATCGTATAATTTCAGACAGAGGGGTCCAATTCATTTCTAAGTTCTGGAGAGCATTTTTGGATCTCCTGGGGACGGACCAGGGCCTGAGTCCTAGTCCTCATCCTCAAACAAATGGTGGGACAGAAGGAACGAACTTGGTACTGGAACAGTACCTCCGATGCGTTATCAACTACCAGCAGGACAATTGGACTGACCTCCTGCCATTCGCTGAAGTGGCGTACAATAACACTGTTCATTCTAGCACTGGGTTCATCCCCTTTCAAGTGGCCAGAGGACAAGAGTTCAACCTAATGCCCTAATTGCCCACCAATGAACCCACAATTCCTTCCCTTAAGGAATGGATGAATCAGCTACAAAATACTTGGCCAGTTGTCACGAAAGCGCTAGATGAGGCTAGAGCAGCTTTTAAGGTCCAAGCAGATAAGAAGAGAATGAAACCTAAGCCATTCCACTTCGGGGACAAAGGGTACCTGTCCACTAGGTCCCTACAGCTCTTACAACCCTCTAAAAAATTAGGGCCAAAGTTTGTGGGACCCTTCCCAATCAAACGCATCATTAACCCAGTTACAGTAGAAATGGAGCTCCTCAAGGCCTTAAGGCAAATCCACTCTGTATTCCATTGCAGCCTGCTAAAACCTGAAATAACCTCGCCAGCATTTCACCCAACACCACTACCCATCATGGTAGAGGGGGAGCAACACTTTGAAATTAGGGAAATCCTAGACTCCCGTAAACACCATGGAGCCACCCAGTACTCGGTGGCCTGGAAAGACCTCCCAGAAAGAATGGGTTCACAAGAAACATGTTAGAGCCCTTAGATTACTCAAATGCTTTCATGCCTGTTACTTAGATAAACCGATTAATCTATGTATTCTTGTTTCCTTCCCTTTTTCTTGTTTTCTATTTCCCCTGGTGGACCTCTCCTTCTTTTAAGAGGGGGCGGCATGTCAGGTCCCCTCAACCACATTTTTCAGGGCTCTGCAATTCTGTTTGGAGGGGGGAGGGTGCACTCTGTTGGGAGGGAGGAAGTTTTGTGGGCTCTGGGACGTATTTCCTTTACTTTGTTCTCTTCACCTTTGACGTATCTCTCTGGGTGTGAAGGGGGGGGGAGGAACGTGGCAGGGGCCATCTGCCTTATCTCTACTCCACTGGGAAGAGACCGGAAAGAAACTGCAACGCCTGAGAACAACTGACAATTGAACGCAAAATTTATGTCACTAAGTGAGAAATTTGTGAAGAGTTTTGTCCCACTTTACGACTTTTCTCACCATGTTTGTGGAGTGAATCTCTGTAGTTCTTAAATGAGTAACACGGTTGTTAAGTGAATCTTATTTTCTGACTTTGCTTCTCAGAAAGTCGCAAAAGGGAATCACATGACTCCAGGACACTATGACTGTCATAAATGCGAATCAGTGGTCAAAGCATCCAAAATAAATCATGTGACCACAGGGATGCTGCAACAGTCGTAAGTGTGAAAAATGGTCCTACGTCATTTTTTAAATGTTATTGTAACTTTGAACGGTCACTAAATGAAGTATTGTAAGTCAAGGACTAAATACACACACACACACACACAAACACACAAAGTCAAGACAAACACAGAGAAAAGAAAATTGGTGTGGACAGGATCAAGATCAAACAATGTGGTAGTATCAGAGACATAATTCTGATCTTGCCAATGTTAGCCAATTTTAACATTTTCATATCAGTTATAAAAATAGTTTGAACTTTACATTTTTGGATGTAAGCAGGAGTGGAGTTATTAAGTCATTATAAGGAATTTTGTAAACTTGAGGTATTTAGCATTTTTTGAAGTCTTATGATGAGGGGGGTCCCTTATCCTTTGGACTGGTGGACATATATTTGGAATACATTTTGTACATTTGAGTACATAATGGATAATTTAAAAAAACAGTTGCCGAGGTGGCTGTGGTTTGTAACAAAACATCATTTACCACTAAACTAACTAGTGAGGTTACTTCCCAACGTCTTCTCTCATCTACCCTACCTCTGTCTTTGAGGGGGGAGAAAGAAAGAGAGTTCCAAACAAAACATTTGGTTGTAGCCACCCATTGTTTTATATAAATGCTTCTATGGTCTACTTTATCTAGGGCAGTGGTGGCGAACCTATGGCATGTGTGCCAGAGGCGGCACTAAGAGCCCTCTCTGTTGGCACGCGTGCCATCGCCGCCAGCAGCAGGTCCATCAGGCCACCACCGCCACCCGGAGCAGGAGCCACACCCAGCACAAAGGAGGCGAAGCGGCTGACTAGCAAGCTCGAGTAGAGGTAGTAGAGGTCACCAACCATTGTCAATTGGTGGACTGGAAGAAAAGGGAGGGGGAAGCATTTTACATGCATGCATACGCACACGGAGCCGTGAGCATTGACACACTGCAAATGTGGCGGGCTAGTGCCTGTATGATACTCACTAGCTCTGCCCCATTCTTATGTGGTGCAGCACCTTGTATCTGCACCCTGCAGTGCGGTGGCGGCCATTTTTGCTTCTTGCAGCATGGTGGCCCATTTTTGTACCCCCGTTTTTTCCGTGCCAGAGGCAGCACTCAGAGGAGCCTCCATGCCCCTCCCCCGAGGGCACCACAATGCTGATGCGGCTCTGGCACTTTGCAATAAATAAGTGGATTTTGGGTTGCGGTTTGGGCACTCGGTCTCTAAAAGGTTCGCCATCACTGATCTAGGGAAATAAATATTACATTTTAAGCTGGTGCTTTGCAATATACTAGCTTCCCACTTATTTTATTTAAAAAAAAAAAAACAACCCTTGAGCACCAAGGAAAATATCACTGGACACCTTCTTGAGTACATAGGTTTGAATATAATGAAATATAAAAGAAGCATACCCTGTGTTGAAAGAAAGATGGGTCAAGATATTTGTCAAATCTATCTTCAAACTTCACATCTGACTTTTTCCATTTCACCTGGAGAGAAAATTTAGAAAATCTGACACAGGATGTTACAAATCAACCAGATCAACCCAGTTCCAATTCCAGACAACACTAAGAGAAACAGGGCAAACATCGATGAAAAACAAATGCTGGAAATTGGAATGGCATTACTGCTAACATAACTTTTTCTTGCAAGCCACTGGTACTTTCAGGTTTTAACAAACGACATCAGTATTACAAGGGAAAAAAAAATGTTTTTAAATGTTTTAAACCACTATAAACTACCCAGAGTCACTAGAAGCCAGTAGTAATTTTATTTATTTTTATTATTAAATTAAGCAAGTATAATGTTCTACGAGAGATCTTTGTCTAACACAGTGTTTCTCAACCTTGACAATTTTAAGGCATGTGGACTTCAACTCCCAGAATTCCAATGCTGGCTGTGGAATTCTGGGAGTTGAAGTCCACATGCCTTAAAATTGTCAAGGTTGAGAAACACTGGTCTGACAACTACTCGTTCAATATAATGAAATGTGAGAATGAACTTGGAAGATAGGGGCAGAGGGAAAAGCTGCCTAGGAAATGATTAGATAAAAGGGGGAGGAGCCCATAAACGAGTCCTCAACGTACGACCACAATTGAGCCCAAAAGTTCTGTTACGTGAGACATTTGTTAAGTGAATTTTGCCCTATTTTATGACCTTAAGTGAATCACTGCAGTTGATAAGTTAGTAACCCAGCTGTTAAGTGAATTTGGCTTCCCCATTGAGTTTGCTCGTCAGAAGGCTGCAAAAGATGATCACGTGATCTTGGGACACAGCAACCGTCATAAGCATGAACCAGTTGCCGAGCGTTTGAATTTTGATCACGGGGGACACTGGAAAGGGCGTCATTGTGAAAAATGGCCATGTCACTTTTTTTTCAGTGCCACTGTACCTTTGAACAGTCAGTAAATGAAGTGTTGTAAGTCAAGGACTATCTGTAATGGGCAGAGAAAGAAACTTAGAAAGGATCTAACCTGACTGGTAGTAAAAAGAGACAGCAGGAGATCTGTGCTTTCAGATTTGCAAGATTATGTTAATGTAGCTTTAAAGTCAAGAGACATTAGTTCGTCATGTCACGTTTCCTGTCTGGTCTACTTGAAAAGCTGACATTTGGAGACTGTTCAAACTTGCAACAATTGGACTAGATGACCTCCAAGGGTTGGACTAGATGACTTCCAAGGTCCCTTCCAACATCATCATCATCATCATCATCATCATCATCATCATCATCATTATTATTATTATTGATCATCGCACAGTCAGCCAGATGTTCAGACTGGATTTGGCATTTTGACTACCTATCGAGTCCTTACCCAGGACCTGGGATAGGCAGATGTGGATGTTTGATGGTATTACAGATATCGTCGCAGGATGGAAGCAGTTCCTAGTAAGGCTGCCTTTTGCAATTGATCAAGGGTGAATTTGTCAATGCCAATGGTGTTCAAGTGGTGCTCCAGTTGTTTTGGGATTGCACCCAAGGAGCCTATGACTATTGGTACTACCCTTGCTTTGCTTTTGCCACAGTTTTTCTATTTCTATTTGTAGGTCTTATTATTATTACTACTACTACTACTACTGCTACCAGTCCTCATTGTTCTAGCCCAGGGGTAGGCAATCTTGGCTTTTTTATGACTCGTGGACTTCAACTCCCAGAATTCCTGAGCCAGCATGTTTGCGCATGTGCGTGGGCACAAACGGGCCACTAGCACGGGGGGTGCGCGTGGCCCCATTTACGCAAGCACAAACGAGCTGCTAACGCAGGGGTGTGTGCACGGCCCATTTGTGCATGCGCGAACGGGGGTGTGTGCGTGGCTCATTTGTACATGTGCGAGCGGGTGCTAGCCACCACAGGGGTGCGCGGCTGTTCACGCATACACAAGCACAGCTGCTAGTACTGAGCCAGTGGGTATGGCCCCATTTATGTGCGTGCACATAAGCTGCTCTCCCCTCCGGGCAGGTTGGAAAACTTTGCTTTAGATTATCCTTCTTGTTGTGATTTGGATAATACTATGCTAAGGCTGGAGTGAGTAAGCATACAACGAACTATGATACATATTGTGATGATATGGACAATACTTGGACAAAACGTGGTTCTGCCAACTTGCTGTTTCTACACCTTAACAGCTATGTAATTATGACCATTATTATTTATAAATTCAGATTACTTACAGAGTAAGACATCTGGATTTTAGTGTTGGGTACCAATTTAACTTTCCCTTCACTTGTCAGATTCACATCCACAATTCTATTTCCATTATAACCTATTTCCAGCTTTTTATATGTCCAGAGATAAAAATCTTCACCATTTTCATCTGCTTCACCAACAATACCTGCAGAGGGAGGAAGTGAGGAAAAGAAATTAATTTTACTGCACTAATTAACCACTGATTAACTAAAAATGGGAAAATATTGTTTTGAATAAAGTTAAAAGATTAGATGATTGGATTTAATTATGGGTAAAGAGAACAGAAAAAAATGGAAATAAATGTATACTAGTTCAAGAGGGATATGTATTTTAAGTAGTATATTATTTTCTTATTTTTTCTTTTTTTCCTTTTTTCCTTTTTTTCCTTTCTTTTTCTCTCTCACGTCTTTTCTTTTTCTATGTCTTTCTTTTGTGTCTTTTTCTTACTTATTTTTTTAAGATATGAAAATAGATTTAAATACTTTAAGGTAATTAATTCTGGGAAAATTTTAACCAGTAGAAATGTTTTGAACATAAAGCTCAAGACTGTATTGGTTGGAAACATGCGGAAGGGGTCTTCATCCTGCAGTGGACTTACAATGGCTAGAATGATAATGATAGTTCATACATTGTCCTATATCGTAAGATGCTTGGTTTATGATATTTATGTAAATTCAGTCAAATATGATTTATTAAACAATCACTAAACTATGGTTTGGAATAAACATAGTTGTTTTCAATAGAATGGTTGTACTTCTGCACATTGTAGGCATATGTGTCATGGTTCCGAAAGAAGCAGGTTTTCAAAGAACTTTGAGGCTTTATTTACCTTAAAGAATCCTTTTATTTCTGCAAAGCTTCTGCACGTACATAATGAAGCCAAAAACTGAATCCTCCCACCCCCAATCACCCGTAAGAAAGCATATCTCACTCCTTCATTTTACAGTCATCAATCACGTTCTCCAATTAGTTTGAAGTGTGAACTTCCCTCCCATAACTCCTCTGGTTACAGCTGACCTTGGCAATGCTGTACTGAAATATTGTTGTGGTTAATTATCTTACTTTCCCACCCGCTGTTCTAACATAGTCTGACTTTAATTCTAGAAGTGATATGCAGGCTAAATAAAAGATGTTTGCTTCTTCATATATGGCAAGCAAGAACATCTAATGTTAGCAGTCTTGACAATATGTTTCTTACCCCATATTGGCAAATCATCAATGTACATCTGATACCAATAGTGATTTTTGATAGCATAAACAAATGCATCTCTTGTTTGTTTATCTAAATCTATATCACAGTAGGTGGTCTGCATGACATCATCTGCAAAAAGCAAAACAATGTGTTAACAGTGGTTTCACAGATTGTCACGTCAATATCATCAAAATACATTTTACTAATGAACCAGTGCAAATATACCAATCTTGCTCTTATGCCATTAGTGCCATACATTTATTTCCAATACACAGAGTATAAGACTAACCTAATTTGAAAGGGAAAACAGAAGTGTAAATTCTATTTATGTAGAACAATGGTATAGTTAGGATTTTGAAATAAAAATAATTTGCCAAATGCTATGATTCACCAGTGTGAGCCTCTACTCAGTTAAATCCAACCAAAAAACATCCTATCAATTCTTAAGAGGCTTATTTCTGTTGGAGCCTATGCAACTTGTATTTGGGATGGTCTTCCAGTAAGGGTCTGTATTTATTGACTTAATTCCTCAAACTAAATTTTATAAGGACTTTTTAGCTGTACTGATTTTCAGGGAAGACGCAGCTCCAGGATACATGTCAGCATCATTTTTCCAAATTAATTTTGCTAGCACATGTACTGAACTGGGCTAAAGCTAAAAGAAAACAAAAAAGTACGCTTTAGACTAGACATGTCAAACTCGCGACATCACGTGATGTCACGCAACGTATCGGGAGTTTTGCCATTGCCAGCAATGGGGTGGGCGCGGCTTCCGGATGATGCGTGCGGCCCACAGGCCGGCAGTTTGACACCCCTGCTTTAGACCATTGTTTCTAAATCAGTGGTTCTCAACTTTTTTAATGCCGCAACCCCCAACCGGTCGTAAGTCGAGGACTACTCAACCAGTCGTAAGTCGAGGACTACTCAACTGGTGCAGCACCGTTTGCAAAATGGGACTTTTGGCGGGCTCAGCAGGGCAGAGACAGCCTGGACAATTCCTATTGGCTTTTGAAAGCCAATAGAATTAGACTCTATTCAAGAGAGCCTATTCTATTGGCTTTCAAAAGCCAATAGAATAAAAGGGAGTAGCACAGCTAAGGAAAAGGGGGAAAAAATGGCGGACTGCGTTGTTTGGCAACCCCCGTGAAATGGTCGTTCAACCCCAAATGGGGTCCCGACCCACAGGTTGAGAAATGCTGCTTTAGACAGAGCTCTCTGAAAAGATCACATTCTTTTTCTATGAGGGCTTACTTACTTGGTCTGATATACTTAAACCACTACAAAGCTTTCCCTCTACTGCACGTTAATGTTTTAAACTTGATAGTATTAGAGCAGGGGTGTCAAATTGCCGGCCCACAGGCTGGATGCATCATAGCAAAAACGCGCCCACCCCATTGCCGGCAATGGCAAAAAAGTCGCGATATGTTGCGACACGTCACGTAATGTTGCGAGTTTGACACCCCCTTTATTAGAGGGAACAAAGAACACTATCGCCATTTCTAAGTGAATATGCTCAAGTGAAACTAAACAAGCTGAGTCTCTAGTGCACAGAGTTCTTTCTATAAGATTTCACACTCCGGCCTTATAATTTCACTTAAAATTAATAGATCTGGTAGAATTATAAATGATTATAAATGATTATATCCACTTTCAACTGTCAACTAACATCCTGTGGATCAATACAAAAGGCAAGCTTTCTTTTCTACTGCCATTTAATTTCATCATAATGTATTAGGACAACCAATGTCTATATTATTATTTATTATTGTATTAGATCCTTTTCTCTGCTTTTGCATGTTTTTAATCTACCTTTTTATTATTTCTAATGCCAGGGCATTTTTAAAAGAAATTCTGAAAAGCTCAAAACTGTACGTTTGTCTGCTAACCAGTCCAATAATTCTCTAAAACCAACACAGTAGAATAAAATTTGATGTGGAGCAAGAAATCAGCAAAAAAAAGTAAAAGTTTGAAAATGGTTCAATAAGGCTAAGAGCTGTGGGAGAGGCAGTTGGATGGTGGTTCAAAATATTACTGACTCCTCTATTCTAATTCTTAACTGCTAATATTATTATAAGACTGAGATCTGTTCACAAATCCCACCCAAATCAATTCATGAACAACAAATACTCAATAATTCAAAGAGAAAAAACATCAAACACAGAAACCGATTCTGAGACAATGGCCTAGATCAGGGGTGTCAAATTACCGGCCCGTGGGCTGGTGGCATCACACGGAGGCCACACCCACCCCAGCTCCGGCAATGCAAAAAAAAGGTGCAATACGTCGCAACACGTCACACGGCGAGTTTGACACCCATGGCCTAGATACCGAAGTAGGCTTATATGCCTGGAGATTGAGCCATGCCAAAGTCTTATGTTTCAGTTTGTCAGAAAGCATAAAACCAGCCACTATGTTTTATTCCGTATTTTTAAAACATGATTCAATCCTTTTTTTGAATAATTTTTTTTATTTTATTCAGAAAATTAAAGTTAAAATACAAATTCCAAAAAAGGGGAAAAGAAATTTTACAAAAACAAAACAAAAACAGGCAAAACATTAGAAAAGAAAAAAAAATGTGCATTAAAAAAGAAGAAAGACAAAAACACACATATACATATATTATCCCCTCTAGTTAAATACTGATAAATATATTGGAACAATGTTAGTTTCCCCTCCCCCCCACTGCGAAGCAGGACCAAAATTTATAAACAATTACCTCCATGTGTAACTGATTTGACCTGCCATCTAGCTACTATATATAAAGTCAAAGTAGTTAACAGGTGAACCAACAGCAAAGTTAAAACTTCAAAGCCCTCTTTTAACAATCTATTATATTTAACTGGTAGACAGCCTAAAACAGCCTCTTATCTACCCAAAATCACCACAATCATTACCTCTAAACCATCCAGGATAAAATACCCTCGTTTGATTCTTAATAACAAAACTTCTCAAGATTTTGGTTGAAAACTTTCCCAACAATTGTGTTTTATTCCCTAAAATCATAAACCTCTGTTGTCAATCAATTTTCCCTGTCCAGTCCAAATTGTTTTCCGGTTAGATATAGTAAGTCCATTTTCCAGTTAGATATAGTAAGTCCATTATCACCATCAATCTTATCACCCATTGATTCTGTTAACTCCAAATTTGTAGAATCCGTATCCCCTTCAGTTTTATCCAACAAACCTGCACGTTCCAAACCAAGTTCCTTTCCCTTTAAATCTGACGACAATTTAAATTCCAATCCATCCAGTTATGAGTTTGGTTTGCATACAATTGGTTTTGTCTGGATATCTTCTTTAGATGGATTTGTTATTTTATCAAACTTTTACCAAAGTTTCCCATTTGAGCTTGCTGGTTAAAAAACATTCTTTTTTCAAAGGCCTCCTGGGGCTTTATCTTTAAGTTGGTACATTGTTTGCGTTTTAAATATAGATCTTGGCATTCAAACCAGATTTTATATATTTATATGCATTTCCTTTCAAAACAAGGGTGTTAAATATGCTGTAATAAACTAGCCACAGAGAAGCTGAGATATTTCGCATAATAAAGATGGATGAAAAACAAAGGAAAAAGAAAAAGAAAAATTTCAAGACGCATTAAAAAATTAAGACCAGGGCTTTTTAAAAGTTAAGAAAATGTGAAATCCCTGAGTGAAAATCTGATAGAAATGAAAATCCAAACAGGTCACTTTCATTATCAGAATATCTCTTGTCAACTTCCATATGGAGAAAGCTAAAGTAATTCAGAACAGCAGAGTGAAACAGTGAAAAAACATTAAAGAATTCACATTAAAAAACAAGAGGGGGTTAAAATAAACCAGCTGGACTGGAAGGTTCATCTCTAGCCAGGTATACAGTTCAGTTTGGTGCCACACAATAATTTAAAAGATGGTAACAATACTGAAGTACAGTATTGGCCAAAATTGTGGAAACCTTTTGGGAAAAGTGTACAGTAGAAATGCAACCTTTGGTTAAGTTTCCACCAATTTTTCTTTTAATTTCTTTATAACTGTAGCCGTGTTCACTTAATAATACTATTTTACATCGCTTTCTGGGCGACCAGTCAACTCTTTGCACCATGACTTTAATTTTATTACGTTTTACAAGCTCACTAAATGAAAGAACAACAAAAAAAAACCCCAACCAACTTGATAGTGATCACATAACACATTGACAAATGTCCTCCTCTCAGCTTCAATACAGGACATCAATCACTGACTCCTACTGTGATCTGATTGGCTCATTGCCAAAACAAGATGACACCTGATTGGCTCTCTAAACACTCATGCTCATTGGCTACAATCAGATGAAGAAAAGTTACCTGATATCAACCTAAGCAAGTTGTGCTTCCTTTTTCTGGTTATTTGGCTATAACTTTCATAGAATACAATACAGATAATTGAACAAACTTTGTTGCATTACATTCTTGATTCAATTATCTTTCCATTGATATATAATTTTATGGTACTACTCCAAAAAAAAGTGGTGTTGTTAGCCATCAAACCTCAAAAATACACTTTTCCCAAAAGGTTTCCACAATTTCGGCCACTACTGTATGCTTAGAATTGGTAACCAATATAGCAACTTCACAAGAGGCATTATTCTGGGTTGATGGAGTTGTCAGAACGCTAACCACCTGCAGTTTCTGCATCCTCTCCATAGACAGACCTGGTCCTCTGCAAGGGTTACAGAATCTTTAGATCGGAGTGCCCCATGTGTCAAATAGATCAAAAGAACTGTGACTGAAAGATAGCGGATGCAGAAAAGTCAGGCGGAATCTGAAGGTCCAGCACAAAGCGCAAAACAATTATTTCATTTTCCCCCAAACCCAACTGGTAGCCAATATGATGCTGCAGAGATGTTACAAGAACACCGAGGTGCTGAGTAGATAATGGGTCACTCTTGCCGCCACAGTGCCACCAGCTGAGAAGATTCTTAAAGTGAACGTAAAAAATTAAACCAGAAACTTTCCTTCTGGATCTAATGGAAAGAGAATTGGGGGAAAAAAATTGGAACTCTGATTTTATATCTGGTGACGGCAACAAGACTGCTCTGTGCACGAAAGTGAAAGGATGCCTCGATTCCCACCATGGACAAATGGTTACAAAAGCTGATGGAATTAGAGAGATG